AGTTTAATTCACGGTGTCTTTAATTTCTAAGACTTGCTTTTTTTCCTTACTACTCTTTTTTTGATGGATATGATGGCCTTCTAGTCACCTTCTGATTCCTGTCTTGACATTTCCACAAGGGTTAGATACTGTTTCAAGATGCTGGTTTGCCTCAGTGATCGGAGATTCCTTATGTCTGCTCCTATCTGTAGGTGAGGGCCCAGGGCGCAGTGCTGGTGTAAGTCCTCTCTCCAGGCAGGAATCCTGTTACGGGACATTTATACACACACATTGGTTACAGAAGTCTGTGCTCTGACACTACCTTCTGCAGCTGAGGGGAGCCCCTCCGTTTTGGATGATGGGTGGTCTTGCCTTCCATATGTCAGCTGCAGCTGCCACTGTCTCTTCTCCTGTTCTCTCACCTTCTTGCTGACTTTCTTCTCTCCTCCACACCACATCTAATATAAATCACATTTTTATGTTTTCAAAAAATATCTTTACCTATCCTGCTCAACTCCTTTTCATTTCTGCCTACTTTCAGCANGTCAATGTTAAAAATCACATTTTTATGTTTTCAAAAAATATCTTTACCTATCCTGCTCAACTCCTTTTCATTTCTGCCTACTTTCAGCAAGCTTTCTTTTGAGAGCAATCTACCCCACAGGGCTTTTAATTCTAGAGCTCAGGATTTCCTGTGTACTTTGAGATCAGAGCAGAAAAGGTAAAATATTGACGTGAATTTTTCATAGAAAAGTGGAAACTGTTTTCTCAGATTTTTCATAAGTACAGAGCAGGCACTGTCTGAAATTTGCTTGTTTCCTGGAGTAAATCTTTTTCATAAATGCTCTTCCTTCACATTTCGTGTGTCAGATCCTTTTACTTGAGTCTGAAAGGGCCCGTGTTGATCCGTCTGCTCTTTACTCACTGTACTCAGATTGTGTTTTTCCTAGAAACTGGCCACACGGGTTCTCCTTAGGCGCTGTTTTTTTACTCGTGAGCTATCACACACTTTCTCTCAGATCTCAACAGAAGGGACTGTTTCCAGTTCAATGGCTGAGTCATCTGAGGGCTGGGAGGAGCTTGGCTATGGCTCACCAGGCAGGGGAACCTAGGTGATGTGTGCCTTCTTCTGTCTGGAGTCATCTCCATAGCCAGGGGCCCCCCTGGAGTAGAAATGGCAGCTTCCTATCTTCATAAACGTGCTCTCCAGCAAGCTCAGTGCTGTGGTCATCCTTGCCTACTTCTACCAGGTCTCTTTTGTCACCTGGGGAATGGCCATCACCACCAACATTCACTGATACCCCTAAGGCCCCAGGGCCTGCTGCTCATGCTGCCTCAGACTCTTGCCCTCGATGCAAGGGCAGAAGACAGGACCTCTGGATCAGTCCTGAGTTCTGCCCCACTCAGAGCTGCTCTTCCCTGTCCGAGAGGNCGATGCAAGGGCAGGAGACAGGACCTCTGGATCAGTCCTGAGTTCTGCCCCACTCAGAGCTGCTCTTCCCTGTCCGAGAGGCAATCAACGGGGTCTCTGGGCAGCTGGGCCACATGGCCCTCCACAGAAAGTACACAATCATGAGCACTTGCTACATGCAGACCACACATTTTGTAGCATTATTTCACCTAACCTTCATGAATCTATGACTATTTGTAGAGGAGCAAATGGAGTTCGGAAATAAGTAACTGCTGTGGCACAGCATACCTAACACTGGCAAAACTAATGCTCCCATCAAAGCTGTTTGTGTCTGAAGCTAATCCTAACTGTTCTAAAACTGCACAGAAGACTGAAAATAAATAAAAGGCGATGTCAATCAAGGCAGCTTAAATGGTGGGGTGATGGGTGATAGCCCTTGACCCTTCTGATATTCCAAAATTTCCACAATGGCTATGTTTACTTATTTAAACAGAAAAAAATCTAAGTGATGATGACCAGTGAAGCACAAAAGAAACAGAATGTCAGAACTGGACAGGCCTTAGAAACCAATGACTCTGACCCGTTTGCTCCAAAGATGAGAAAGCTACAACCTGGACAAACCACATGACTTGCCCACAGCGCAGGAAATGTGAGCAGAGACCACAGTGGAGCCTGCGCTTCTGGGCTCGCAGAGTCCAGCACTCATTGTGAGTTTCTGGAAACTGTGCAGCTGCAGANCTGTGAGCAGAGGCCACAGTGGAGCCTGCGCTTCTGGGCTCCCGGAGTCCAGCACTCATTGTGAGTTTCTGGAAACTGTGCAGCTGCAGATTTGGCACGAGTAAAATCCACTGGCAAAGCACACCACCATTTAGGAAAATACAGGATGGGACCCACAAATCAAGACAGCTCCACTTAAAAGATGTCTATATTTCTCAGCACCTTGTCAAGGGGTCATTTTCCATTATTTTACCTCATTACCATCATGTAAATTATACAATTATGATCTTGACAAGTACTCAAGAGTCTTGGGAACAAAAAGCTGAGTCACTGAGCACTTGTCCTGTAATCTGAGTGCTCTTCCTGGCAGCTCTGAGAAAGACCATCCAAGGCCAGCCTGGGGCAGGACGGAGGAATGAAAGGCGGGTATGGGCTGTTACATTTGGGCTTATATTTCAGGCACGTGGTCTTTAGTTTCCCTTACTAATTTTCCACAAATATAAAAATGATAAACTCATTCAGATTATCTGTATATCAATAAACTGGGATTATTCTGGCTGTGAGTGACAGAAAACCCAAGCGACCTGAATTAACCAAGAGGGATCAGTGTTGCCCAGCTGGCATGGCTCAGCGGTTGAGCATGGACCGATGATTCAGGAAATCAAGGTTCGATTCCCCGTCAGGGCACATGCCTGGGTTGTGGGCTCCATCCCCAGTAGGGGACATGCAGGAGGCAGCTGATCAATGACTCATCATTGATGTTTCTCTCTCTCTCCCTCCCTTCCACTCTCTGAAATCAATAAAAACAAATTTTTTAAAAAAAGGGGGCTCACTATTGATGTGTGTCACTCAGCAGTCAAGCAGGACGGGACCGGGCCTTCCAGTGCTGTGATCAGGCTCTGGTTTCTCTCTCTGGGTCTTGGTGGAGTCGCTCCGTATTTGCCAGGAGTTGTTCTCGCAGCTGGGGTACAGCGGGGAGGGAAAAAGAGGGGGAGACACATCTCCTGCTCTCCTGGAGTGCTGTTCCAATGGCAAATTAACAGTAACAACATCGACAAAAACTAAACGAGCGCACGCCAAACGCCGGGGGTATTCTGGAAAACACAGAAAACTAAAACAAAGAAAACCGAGTGAGGAGTTCAGATGGCCCGGCCGCTCCTCCGACGCCGCACCGAACGCCCAGCGACCAGACCCAACCGGCCGCGCCCGCGC